ACCTTCTTCCCTCAGCTGGGCCCTCCCAGACTTCTTTCCAACCATGATGGGCGATAGTGGAGAACTTTCGCCCAGGGATAATGTTGCGTAGGGTACTCTTTATGGTTTGAGAGTTAGTTGCTTCGAGCGGTGCGCAATTCGCGACAAGCTATGGCGGGCTAATCGGGGCACTGTATGTCGTGGAGAATAGGTGAAGTGTCACTATAGTGTATAGGGCGAGGTTCGCTACAGGTAAACGGCTTCAGGCTTCGAAGTGCTGCTGATGAAGGTTGGCGTTGCTCGAAATCGCAGCTTCATGTGCGCGCGCCCTTGGCGTGAGATTGATTGTTCGGTAGTTGTTGAGAATCGTGGCACTCGCGTTAGACAAATCTATGGGATAGACGGCAGTGGTGCTTGGATTCGTGGATGTAGAGTCGGTGAGTAAATTATGGCCGTCGCGAGGAAAGATGGCGGTTGAAGCCGAGATGTCGTTGCGGCAATGCGGTCCTGCGATTGGCCTGCGATCTTCCTTCCAAAATCTACACATATGGAGCTGAAGCCCTGGCCGCCGCCAAGAACGAGGCCTTAAGAGCGATGCATGTGCATATTTTTAGTGAATAGGGTGAATTAATTATTTTCCATCTTGTCATGAAAAGCCAGAAATTTTTTTTTTACAACTATAAAGAGCAATTATGTTTTCCAAGTAACAACTTTTAAGCTTGGACATTGCAATAAGTTGCAAACAAATATTTGAAAACATTCCTCTTGTCTTTGTTGTTATTCGTGCACTTGTTATTATTAGGTTTTAGCTATTATTGCTTGCGAAGCAAGCAACGTATCACCATGTAGTCGAAGCTGGTAACTTTGCACCTACTGTATCTTTATACAAATCTTGTTTATATACGAGGCTTTGGCCTCTTCAAATCGTCTCGCAGTCTCCAACACGTCCACATCTAACCTCGATGCACTAAGAAGCGAGACGCTCTAAGACGAATGTGCCGTCGTATAATAGCTGTTCTGATTCTTAGAAGGGCGACCAGCCGATTGGAGTGAGCACGCTATCAAGACTCTGTAGATGAACGACTGTCTCATCGGATTTACAGTGTGCAGGACCAGAGCATAATGATAGGGCTTCTGAGGGTGGTATGTCGAGCTTGAAAGAGAGAGTTTGGCGTAGGTATCTGGTGCGTTGTGATTCTCCAGGACATCCCAAAGGGCCTTTGCATCTGAGAAAGGCTTTGTGATAACAGCTACACAGTCAAGAGAGAGACAGAGAGGCGTTACACCACAGAGAGAGATTGTGCCTCGTGTAGGCTTGTACCTAACGACACCCTTGAAGCCTGGAGGTACCCGACCTGAGCCTGCAGTATCGGTGGCCAGGGAAAGGGAGACAAGGTTGGATCCCACACTGACCATGTTGCCAGAGTTGGTGCCTCCGCTGATGTAGTTTTTGTTATAGACGGAACGAGGATCTTTGCTCTACTTGTGCCTGGTTTTGTGGAGAGCATCAACCGAGACTTGAATGTTAGAGAGGCCTAGAAGATCTATACCTTGCCTTGGATCTTTAGCTTCTTTACGTCTATGCTGGTGCACTACGTTCTCAAAGTCTATATGTCGCCATCCACAGAGTCGCTTGCTGGGCAGGCAGTGATCCTACACAGGCTGGTGATACAAGTCCACCGGTGTTGGAGGGCAAGGAGGGCGAGGATGGTGACTCAAAGGACGTTTACTTTCCACACGAGAAGTGAGTTGCACTATTCTTTGGAAAGAAGTCCAACAGACTGTCACTCAATGAAGTCTAGGTCATTGTAAATGCTTCCAGTATTGATTTAGTTCTGCGAGCCCGCTTCAATTTAACATCATAAGATTCACAAACTTTCCCCTAGCTGAGACGGCAACGAAACGAAGCCTGAATATACGTTCTGTGTTATCAGAGTTATCCAAAGCTCGTCTCACACATTTGGCAATAGCCATGGCTTAAATACACGACTTCCAGGTAGATCAGGTCTCGAATTCGCCTCCTTTTGAGTAAGACCATTCTCCATTTCCGAGTAATAAAGACAAGTCCCTGTAGCACAGGTCCAGAACCCGTATCCCTCTCTCTTACTACTCTTTCCCGCACGATCTTGTCTGCTTGGTGACGATGGTATGCAGTCACAGACAGGATTCTTGGGACCAACCCCTCGAGCATCGTTCCACGTTATCCATCTCGAGTTTATGTCGCATACGGAGCAGATGTAGTAAGGCCGATTCGCATTTCCGTTCTCGTTGTCAGGGCTCACTATCTTTTGGTCTGAGGCGAGGGTTCCGCAACGGGAGCAGGTGGGTTTGGTTTTGAGGGGGAACATCTGGGCGACGGTTATTTTGATAGATAGTCCACTAGCTTCGACTATTGTGTGATTAGTAGTAGAATATTATCTGGTAATCGTTATATGTCTGCCTACTTGGGCGATTCGGAAGCTATTCAGGGTCTGGTTGAGGTCTTATATGTCTTTTGGAAAGGGTTCAGTATGGAATTCCACAAACGACTCAATTCAAACATGTAAACTACGATGAATTCAAGGTTCCGTTCTTGAAGAGTCTTTAACATTTTGATGATCAAGGTGGTAGGCACCATTTGAGGCGAGGCACTTAAAAGTAGGTTTCAGTTCAGACACACATTAGGCTGTGCATACGAAATGTTTATGCAGCATGGGCTATGTTTTAACCAAGCTGAGACTAGCTTACGGTTTACAGTGAATGTCGATCTATGCAGGTGAACTATCTCGTCCAGCATAGCTGTCAGCAGACTCTAGTATGCTGAAAACATGGCTTTTATTACGAACTGTAAAGGTCTCTTCTTAGGGTTGCGTTCTCGTAAACAGCGTAGCTGAATTTAATAATAGACGTTCGCCGATCTAGTCCCTTGATTGGTTCAATCCCCAGTATTCTTATCTCCACCCGTTCACCTCGACAGCACCATCTGTTCTCCCTACAGGGCCCCCGGTCCTGTCGCCGTCGTCTGCAGTGCTTCATGACAGCTATCGGATCCTGAGTCTTTGGTGCATATCGTGCTCTCCCCACCTCGCGGGCTCACGTCAACGCCAAACTGAGCATCAAAATCCAACACCAAGGTATCGAGACAGGCCTTAGGATCTCAGGAATCTGACTCAAATAAATATAAAGTACATCGATTCCTTTTCCACGAGTGAAGATTCAAGATGGGTCTGATTTGTTCCTTCGAGATTGAACCGACCCGACCGATCCCCGCTTCATATATTAGTTCGGAAACAACCCGTGCCACGTTAAAACGAGCCTTGTGGGCGTCGTGTTTCCCTACGATTGGTCAGTGGCTCTCTGCGTGTCTTTCTGTTTTAGGGTCGCTGTCTTGTGCTTCGTCGTAGTTCTGAAAAAGTTCTTCAATTCTAGTATCATACCAAAGCGAGCATGGCACTCTTCAAAGTTGCCCGGTTGTCTTTGACATGGCAGTCCGCAGAAGTGATCATGTATCCAAGAGAGCTTTTCTGCTGTCGACACATCACTTGACAATGTCACTGCGAACTCGACGGAACACCTCACTGTGTTCTCTGCCGGTTCCTAGGCAAGAGTGCACTTTCCCAGAGGAACGCCAACCCCGGAAACAGAAAGCAGCATCTTTGAATGAGGAGGATCAAAGCTCGACCAATCGTCGTATTCTAATCTACGATAATTCTGGCCCTGGACCTCGTTCGCCTACCAACTCTTCCCAAATCTGACCAGACCAACCGGTAGATGATGACGCAAATCTGAGAGGACCATCGCCTTTTAAAGAGATGCTAGGACTGCGAAATCTTCAACATAACCAGCTGATAAATTCCACGTCCCAATATGAACAACTACTCTTAGAGCTCAGCGATTACCAGGAGAAATAAAAGGGTTCATTTGGCGTCTCTGTATGGCGGAAAGTAAACTCATTTGATGTAGTGTTTATTCTGTTTATACTTCCGAATCGTACTTCTTAGCTTCCCTGTCGCACATAAGAAAATTTTCTCCACTACTGTTAGCTGCCGTCTATATCCTCGCTATCAATTGGTGCCCATACAGCTCGGAGCTAGTTCTTCTCTCGAAATCGGATGTTCCACGATTGGAAACGCTTGCGTTCAAAACCATCAACGACATCATCTATCGACCGAAGCCCTCTGGCATACAAGTTGGCTTACTTCTTTTACAAAAGCCTGCCGGCGACTCATGGGTACTGACTACGTAGCTTGTTGGTCTTGAGCAGGATTTGAGATTGCATTTGGACTGTTGAGATTGGCGGATCCCTGACCTGGGGAGGGGCTTGAGAAAGCGACTAGAATGGGGATTCTTCATGCAACATGTTGGGGCAAAAATGTGAACACTCTTTTGCCATGCGTAGATTGGTATATATCCTTCCAACACAACACGAATGGGGGTTCCCTTGTGCATGGCCGGCCTTCACATATCACCACAACAGGCTGGACTGTAACACCCCCTAAGAAGATGACTTTCTTGATAAACCAGCCGATGAAGACGACAAGAATGGAAGCACCGACGGGGGTCGCGAGCAGGGACTGGAACACAGAACATCTCTGGTTTGCTAGTGCGGTGAACAGTGTGAAGTGTAATTAGAGAAAACACAATGTCTAGAATAATAATGCCCACCATTGAAATTGCAATAACCCTTTGCTGAATCATATCAATCTGTTTTTGCACCTGACTTGGACGTGAAGTATATATTCCAATGACCAATGTGCCTGCAACATTCAGAATGGAGTCATAGAATGACAGATATTAATCTTTATCGAAAGTGGCAGTGGGACCTGGTCTACGACTGAGACGAACACCTGATGCAGATTTCCTCACAGTCCACCAGTCTCTTATCTCGGTCCTCTAAGATTGTCGCATTCACGAAGAGTCAGACAGACCAACCCATACTCGCCCTAAAAAAGATCATACAAAAAAAAGTTTTTTGTAATATGGTTTAGCAAGAGCAGTTGTTGTATGCAACTGCGGACCCTGTTTAAAAAACAAAAAAGTAATGGACGCTGTGGGAATTGAACCCACGACCTTTCACAAGTACGCAAGTGATCCGAAGAAGATGCGAAGCGAAAATCATACCCCTAGACCAAGCGCCCGTTGTTGGTGTTATTGATTTGATGGAAGAAATTGAAAAATAAATTGTATATATCCAGTACTAATGATGTAGGAGAAGATTGGATTAAGACAGGGAGTGTGCTAAATGGCAACATCAAAACATACGAGCGGGGCAGTCAAGAGCCAATTATGTGGCGGTTAAAATCTGTGCTAGTGCGGTGGATGGATGAGGGGTGAGTGGGGTTGATGGGAGAATTAGCATGGCGCGACAAGGGCATGGCAAGGTGGGATGGGAATTTAGCAACGGGATCCTGGAAGCTGGATATCCCATCATGGTTGTCACAAGCAAGCGAATCTTCCTCGTGATGGCATTGTGCATCCCGTGCCAGCACCGCAGGAAAAACAGCAAACATTTTTATCAGTTGACCACAGCCATAATTTTCATTAAAACTGCCCAGGAAGCTTCAGGTCCATCATTGTATAGAAGCCACTGCCTTCTTCCCTCCCCTCCACACTTCATCCATCATCCTATTTCTTACTAGTCTTCTCCTCCGCCGATGCAGCAAGGATGTGCTCGGGGTTGCTAGGCAGCTTGCTCTTCTGTTCGTTGCTGGCCTCCTTCGCGCTGGAGTCTGTAGGCGCGCCGCCTTGCTCGTTGGGGTTGCTGGCGACGGTGCCGGACTGGCCCTCGGTCTGATTCTCGGGTTCGGGCGATTGTCGGCCGGGATTGGGGGCGGACATTTTGTGTTCCACTGTGGAAAGTTAGGTATGACGATAAAGGGAATGACAAGATGTTGATGTGGAAGATGAGGGCTGATTGGTATCATGTAATTTGTGAGACGTACGAATTTGGTTTTGGTGGTAAGGTGATGTGGTTTCTGAGGTTTGTTAGACGCTGGTTTGAAGCACGAGCGGAGCACATCGCGGTACTCACATAACAGAACTCGTCTGAAGTTCGAGTATTCAATTGCGTGTCGAGAAGGAACTTGGTGTATTACTGTAGTAACTGTCCAAGCCCCGCGCTTTTCATTGCAAAAGCTGTCCCACCACGACGTCATTGCCCACAATAAGTCTTGGCAATCATACCCACTATCGCCCCGGGTCCCGATCAGGAAGCGTCGACGTCAATTAATAAAGACTGCACCATCTGACGAAGCATGCTGATTGCGTTCTCTTTGATTGCTGCCCAAACATATCGCCGTCTTGTTATTGTTTTCGTTTGTCGAAAGAGGATGTGGACTAAGACATGAGTGATACATCTGATGCTACCTTAATAAATGCTATTGGAAATGCCATGATGCCCAAACCGACCAAACGCCTAATGAATGTTGTTATCCTTAGCTCATTTTCCCTAGTTCGACATCTCCGTCTCCCAAGTCATCATCGTCATCCCAGCCTTGTCCTTTAAGCCGCTTCCCAACCCACAGACCGAGAACAGTCAATGCACTGGATGTCAGAAACCAGCCTTCAAACCACCTCTCAGTAAAACTGGGCTCAAGAGGGGCGCCTAACGCGTCTGATATCGCGCTCTTCATCTCAGATGGCAGATTACTTCGCAAGAGGAGAGCAGAGCTAATGACGTAGGTCGCAGCAATCTGCGAGATCAACAGGGCGAAGTTGGCGCGAGCATGGTGAAGGATGCCCGGAAGAACGCGGGCGAATAAGTAGAAAGTTTGGAGAACGCTGTTGAAGGATAAAAGAAGCATTACTCCCGAAAGAAGAAAGGATACGGTGCGACTCCATGCCACACGGTCTATGGTAGGATCCCAGTGCTTTGCCAGAATAGCCAGGAAGTTGTTTATAGGGTCGCTGTTTGAGAAGCTTGTATTCGGAGAGGAAAACCGGCGCAGAGTCGTAACCGATGTGGCAGTAATACGGTACAAGCAGTACAACGAGAACACGAACGAGAACAGGTTGAGAAGCCGGCCATGTGCGGTATGTGACCGGAGCTGTGTTTGCCTTCGGCTTTGGAGCATGGTAACGGCGTTTTGAAGAGTGGTGCGCATGGTTTCGAGACCTCGAATTTCTAGTTGAAGAGTATTGCGCTCTTGAACGTCAGGGTTGCCTCGGAGACTACCTACAACTCGTGTCATAAAGCCTTCTTGTGGGGCATCAGAGAGCTTTCTCGAGATAGCTCGGAGGCGGCTCTCTTTTGCCAAGAGCATATCGTTGGTAGCCTCGAGGCCAGCTTGCTTTCGTGCGACGTCCGACTCCGTAATCTAAATTTGTTAGATACACAGTACGGGCGTCAAGTGTGAAGATAATAGAGAAGGATGTCACCCACCGGACGATATTTGACGCCAAATGTCTGCCATAGTGAGCTTACAGCAGCAAAGCCAGCAAGCGAAGCCATCAAGCTTATACCAATAATCCCAATTCTTTCTAGGCAGCCTTCGCTGAAGCTGTGATTCCGAAGATACGACTCTTCATGTAAATATGAACCTAACAGGCCTCGCCCAAGATACCAAAAGCCTCCTAGCCATAAGGCGAATCCGAGAAATTCTAGCAGCCAAGCTACTCTACGCTGTCCTGTGGATACCCCACCCAGCTTATATCCGGCCCCAGACACCACAGAGTGTATTTCCAACGCAGGTGTAACTATGATCAAGAGGAACAAGAGTGAAGGGAGTGTGATTTTTAGCGCAAGGGTGCGCGTCCTAGGGTTGACGGTATTCGATATCTCGCATAGTAGGAGTTCGACCAGAACAGCGGATAGTGCGATGTTTGTCGAGAAGGTTATGCTGGCGAGTGTTCGCGACGTGAAAGAATTCTTGAATATAGAGGATCTCTCGCGCAATGTGAATCCAGTAATTTGAGATGCATCCTGTCGAGCTTTATTGTACGCGCGGCCTGAGAGGAGCGGAAAGAGCTTATGCGATACGGCAACAGCGACGATGATGAACGTGAGGACAAAAGGGAGCGCGGAGAAGACTAAAGTGGACGGCCTGCGAGAAACCACCCAGTCTGGAACGCACGCATCGCAGTCGTCGGCGGGAACCATAGCCAGAGGGCTGGCGGGTGAGGTGTTGCGCGGGCGATGGCAGGTTTACGACCACTTCGTTCTGGTTGCGAATGAACAGCGCACTTTCCATCGACTCGGATTCAGGGTATTGGTGCGATGGAGCATGACAGTGCCTGAAGGATGGCGAACGTACGTTGGGGAACGAGGGATGGGGTTTCTGGCGGCATGTGTTTCAACAAATTGCCAAGCCACGCGGCAGGCCCACCCTTCAATGCTTCAGACGTCATCTGGAAGTTCCCGGATCTGCACAGGGATCTATTTTTGACATGGCAGTTCTAGGCGAAGGAAATGTGGGTTCTGGAGACTGCCCTCTATAATTTATTTGAGAGCTACGAGCAAACGATCTTTCATCGATGCTGTCTATGTGTTCTATGATAGATCCAATAAGCCTCCCAATTGCAGCATGATCGCAGCATGATCGTAGCATCCACCGTGTCACAGCCCCCGCACTATCACACATGTGCCAAGCCACCTCTGTCCACTTTACCCTCAGGTTTTGCCTTGGCAGGATTTCGTCGGCAAACTGATATTTAAGGTATGTAAGGGGAGTTTCCCCCTGGGTGCTTGAGCTTGGCGATAATGAACGCCCAGAAAGGATCTTTGCAGCGTGTTTGATGTAGCAAGAAGGGGGGCATGGATCTTATGCCGCTCCCGAACTCTTGTGCTCCTCTGGCTTTGTCCCCATGTCATTAGTCTCGGGTTGAACTTTGACAACGGGTTCCAGAGCCGCATCATCCTTTGATTCAGCACTTCCATCCGCCGCCTCGGTTGTACTAAAAGGCTGGGCAGTGATTACACCACCTTCATCCTCCTCCTCGCTACTGCTACTGATGTCACTAATCTCAGGGCTGTCTAGGTTTTGGAGATGAGGGCTCTTCATGACAACACCAGGATGTAGGTCGTCTACGGGAGCGGGAGTGGAAGCCACAGACTTCGTGCCGCCGCCACTGAGAACACTGATGGGAATTTTGAGCTCCGGAACTCCTGATACTGGTGCCGATGCCGGTGACCGTGGTGACCGTACTGGTGACCGTGCGATATGGACTTGTGACAGATGGCTGGATTCCACTGGGTGCCTGAGTCCAATCGCTCTGGCAACTGCAGCCGCTTCCTCATCAGATGCAGCGGTCGTCTCCTCGGCAATGAAACTGTTTAGGTTATCCGAGTCCAAGATGTGACCACCCGTAGTATTTTTCAGAAGGTCTTTGTATGCATGGCGGCCCGGATCAAGGGCGCGCTTGTTCCTCGCTTTGTCACGTTTGGATGATGGGCGGACGACGATGACTGGTACAGGCGAGTGCTGTAAACAGTACTTTGAAACAGATCCCGGAAGTAAGCCTTGGAAACCGCCGAGACTTCGACCCCTAGTTCCAACGACGAGTATTGCTGGCTCGTACAAGTTGATCTGTGGAATATTAGTAACGTAAAAGGTCACGTTCAGATGTTTGCAACTCACCATCTCATCAATGACTTTATTGACTTTACCAACAGCAAACTCCAGGACTAGATTGATCGCCTTGTTTTCGTTGTTCTTGTTTTGGATATGCGTCATCAGAGTCTCCGCCTCCAGGCGATATTTTCCCTTTTCTACGTTCCGATCATTGGCAATGGTATCATCCTTCTCGACTACCCGCAAGCAAACTATTTCGTCGCCGTCATCAACCAGCTCGTCGATGAGCCATTGTAGAGCGTACTCGGAGTACTCGTTGTCATCGCATCCGCAGAGGAACGTCCTCGAACGCTTGGTGTACTCGTAGTCTTTGTGCTTGGAAATGAGGGTAAAGGAATTCTCCTCAATAAATTCGGCCGGCCTGTCGAAGGTGTCGAACGAGACTCGGTTTTGGAAGACTCTATGTAACGTCAGCTAGTCTGTAGTGTGGGCGATTGAGGGCAACCGTGAAGAATATGAGTAGACAATCAAGCGCATTGCTTGCTTGATTGAGCCACTCGCGGTCTGTGAGGCATACCCCGACATGTTGACGCGCCATAGGATGCGGGGGAGCAGATAGAGAAGTGGGA